TAATATGCCATATATATCTTTGACAATGTGCTATATATTATGCCATGTTTATCTTTGACATTGTGTTATATATTATGCCGTGTGTTTCTTTGACATTGTGTTATATATTATGCCATATGTATCTTTGACACTGTGTTATATATATGCTATGTGTATCTTTGATATTTTCTTATATATTATGTCATGTGTATTTTTGACATTGTGTTATATATTTTGCAATGTGTATCTTTGACATTGTGTTATATATTATATCAAATGCATCTTTGACATTGTGTTATATATTATGCTATGTGTATCTTTGATATTGTGTTATATATTATGCTATGTGTATCTTTGATATTGTGTTATATATTATGATATGTGTATTTTTGATATTTTGTTATATATTATGCCATGTGTATTTTTGACATTGTGTTATATATTTTGTCATGTGTATCTTTGACATTGTGTTATATATTATGCTATGTGTATATTTGATATTTTGTTATATATTATGCCATGTGTATCTTTGACATTGTGTTATATATTATGCTATTTGTATCTTTGACATTGTGTTATATATTCTACTAAATGCATCTTTGACATTGTGTTATATATTATGACATAGGCATCTTTGCATCTTTGGTATGAGTTATATATCATGTTTATCTTTGTCAATAAGTTATATATTATGCCATATATATTCTCAGCAATAAGTTATAATTATGCTACGTGTATCATTGCCAGTACGTTTAATAAAGACATTTAAAACAATTGGAAAAACTATTGTTGAATTATATAAGAAAGGTCAATAAAACTTGTAAACTATAGTTGTATCTATTACAATTATCGAAATCACAATCTAAATTGTGTTGTATGAGAGGGTAGAGAGGGTAATGGTGTGTGTGTGTGTGTGTGTGTGTGTGTAGAGGGGGTAGTATGATTGTAGCAATCGACATTAGTATACTTTTCATATCAGAAAATTGCGTAGCTTTTCATAAATTTTACACTTTATTTCATATTAAAACAATTATTAGCAAGAAAAAAGAAACTTGCATTCATTTTTAATTTAAAGATAATAGTTTGCCTTGTAATTAACAAAGAGATCGAACCCATATTTTTAAAGTTAGGTGGTCCTTGTAAAGGAGATCAAACTCAAGTTTTATAAGTTAGGTTGTTCTCTAACTGCAACAAATACCACATACATATTACTGTAGGTGATATTTTCAGGGTAAAATCTGGGTTGGGTGGAATTGGGGAGAACAAGCAGGCGTTTCTTCCCCATATATAAGATGAGCAAAGCAACTGGAATGTTTCCAGGAGTAAGTTTTTCTTTACAGTTCGATGACTAAACTGAAAATGTTTAAAATGCAAGAGCTTTTAGGGGCTTCATCGACTGGAACCCATGCGAGAGTTCCATCTCACTGAACAATCGCATATTTCTGTATGGCCTATTCCCTTCCCACGAAGACAAAATAATTCTGGATCGCCTCCTCCACCCTACCAAAAAAAAAATAAAATATTTATGGATATATTGTGACCTGCGAAGAAAATACAAGGTGTTACTGTGACTTATTTATGTTAACAGTTCCTCACCCCCCAAATCAAGTATGCAAACACAATGATAAAAATGTAGAAGAAATAAGATCTATATTTATAATAAATGCATATTACCATGAACATATTTACTTCTGTAATTTCTTTCCCTGATGCCACATTCCATCACCATCCCAAGAAGCAATTGTAAGAAAATATTATCATAGAACGATAACAGAGTAAAAAAAAGTTGGACTATGAAAGAAGTAATGTTAACAGTTTTCGACATGTCCTTATTTTGAAAAACGGGGTCACTTGAAATTTGTACGTTATACAGTCTGCATGTAAATTATTCAGTTTTTGTCTGGATTATACAATATTGATGAATCTATTAAGAGATGTCATGCGTTGGGTGGGTGGGGGATGTTTAACATGTATATTAGTGACCAATTGAGATCATCGTTTACGATGTACATAACACACAACGTTTATTATATTTCTAAATATTCAGTTCATCACGATGATTGCAATGGTTGATTACTACGTGTTGGCGAAAATGTGTCAAGTAATTAATTGGAACATATACATGTTTTTAAACTCTCAAACTTATACGAACAGGCTATAAATCCCATTCATGTATTTTTAGACAGCAATTTCTGTTTTAAATCCGATACAAGTAGCGAAAACAGTTTTCTGGGCGAATCCATGAATATGATACCATTAAGAACATAATTTGTATTGGTAGTACATAAAATTTTACCCGTTACACTGAGATTGCACAAAGCAGTATCTGTCTCATAGATACTGAAAGTCAGCGTTGCAAGAGCCAATAAAAATCGAGCTCCTATCAAAGTTGTTTTATAAAGGAATTGTACATGATTGGGCGGCTTCAGGGCAAAATATTAAACACGCCTCGTTTGAGATTTGCGGTAGTTGAATAAACGGAGATTAATTAACTATTCATTCTGCATGTAGTGTCACCATCCCAAGAGATCACAGCTGAATAATGGAAAATAATTGTATATTTACGAACAGATAATTCCAATGAAACATCATACTGCGTTCTAAGCCCTAGTGTGGTGCGATCTAAGCCCTGACATGGCGTAGGCTCAGCGCAGAATAAAAAAAACAACAGATGATGGTATTAAAGTCAGCGATATTTTCGATGTCACTTTTCATGCAAATTTTATTAATATAATATGTATTTCACGTACGTTTTTCAGAAGGAATCATAAGAGGTGAACATTTTAAACTCTCGTTTGAAATTGTTTTCATCTTTTAGGTTTAATTTTACTTTTAAGAATACAGGGTGAAAAAGTGTATATATTGCGATCTACTCCGAAACATTATTGCTAAATATTTTTATAATTTAAAAAAGTTTGTCAATTGCGGACCACCCCTGCAAACATTTTACCTAAATTCAACTAAATGCTCGATAATTAAGAACCTAGTATGTATATTTATGGACGTATATATACAATCCTGGACATTTTTGTATTTGTTGGCATATTCATCCATGGAGGGAGACCTTAATACGAGGGAGACCTTAATACGAGGGAGACCTTAATACGAAAAATGGACAGAATCATGCTTTCTTACTCTGTATAAAGTTTAATTAAAAAGTCTGACAATAAGTAGTAAGTGGCTTTAATTATATGTCGTACAATATGTCTTCCCTTTACCGATTTATTATTTCCGTTTTTCAAGTTCCCCACAATCGGCAATACTAAGAAGACTTTGATCTAAACTATCTTTCCATTTAAATTGTCGGTAGGCAATTTACCTCTGAACCGTATCCACTCATCCGCTTCAGATACCGGTCAACGGATATAAAGTTCAGAGTGGGTCAAGGGTTAGTCGGGGTCATTCCTTCAGCCACTGCTTGAATGGTCATCTTTTTCATATAAAGTGATACACCTTTTCAAATTTAATTGGACAGTTAAACCAAATGTGTCTTCATTTAATAATAAAACTTCTAATTTACACCAGATGGGACTCCTGGCGACGATTCGATATGCGTTTATTCCTCGATTTCTGCGCCATTATTTGCAAAATATGCACTTTAAATTGATTTCAGTACATTCCAATTAGAATGTTCTCAAAAGCCGTATTTCATGCTCGATCACCTGTATTACATTTTATATAAAGTAGACACTAATCCGTGGGTGGAAACCATTTACTATATAGGATATATCAATAAAAAACTAATGAAATTTGCAAAATTTCCGCTTTCTCAGCTTTTAAATATCAACAAGAGATTGTATTGATACGTGAATTTGTTCAGGATATTATCCTGTCTAAATGGCAGGGGTTTTTTTTGTGCATAGTTTAAAACAAGCACTGTGTAGATCATGTAAAGAAAGCACAAAAATTCTGCATTGATTTTTAAACTAATGTATAAAACAAAAAAATGAATCCATTTTGTATATACTATGCGCATTCAAACCGTACCAGTCACCTATCAATCTTTCCTCTAATCAACTAAATTACATGCTTACCAAACTCTACACATGAAGGCATGTTACATGTAAAACAATTTAAAATCACAATCTTTTTCAATTGCATAACTATAAGACAATTTGGCAAGTTTACTTGTTATGTGATTTCTAGATATCACAACAATATAAAATTTCTTTATATGGAAATTTTCTTCAGCAAGTTCCATGAATAAATCTTTGTGGAATATCTTAATAAAAATGGCAAAATGAAATGAAATTAGTCGTCTCACAAAGGACACATACATACATACATACATACATACATACATACATACATACATACATACATACATACATACATACATACATACATACATACATACATACATACATACATACATACATACATACATACATACATACATACATACATACATACATACATACATACATACATACATACATACATCTTGCTGTTTTGTCTTCATTCTTCCGTATAAAATTTTGCATTAAAACACTGCAGGACTCGCATTATTCAACAGGTATTTTGGCTTGTATTACACACGGCAGATATGATTAATACATTGCAATCGTTATTACAGTCGTTGTCGTCATTTATAAAAAAAAATCTGACACAAAAATATATGCCACTTTTAATCATTTATAGGAGACGTTGAAAAAAGACCTGAGGGAGAAACCACGTAACAAACAAGAAATTATACAAGTTATTAATTATTTTCTTTCTAATAACACAAAATGCAATAGATAATAAAATGAACAACAAAATTTAGAAACCACACACTGTATGAAGAATGAACTAGTTTTATTTCAATATTTGTTTTACAGACTTTTTGATTTACGATATAAATAAATGGTAATTTTACACGTGAAACATATTTACAGAAAAGAAATATATATATATATATATATATATATATATATATATATATATATATATATATATATATATATATATATATAAATATATATATATATATATATATATATATAAACTGTCTTAATCAAATGGTAATGACTAATGAGACTGCTCAGGTGGCATAGTGGTTAGAGTGTCCGCCTCGGATTCGGGAGGTCGTGGGTTCTATCCCTAGCCGAATCATGCCAAAGACTTATACAAATGGTACGAACAGCTGCCTCGCCTGACGCTCAGCATTAAGAGGTTAGTGTTAGGACTGGTCGGCCTGGTGTCAGGATAATGTGACTTGGTGGAGCATCACGCAGACATTGTATCAATATGACTTAATTTTTTAAGCTTCGTTTAAAATACACACACACACACACACACACACACATTCAATCAAATGGTTATTTTTGTTGTGCATATCCCTATAGTGTTTTACAAAGTCAAGTTTACTCACTAACCATGTCTTGCAAAGACTATTCGTAGTAATAAAATGTATATCAGTTTTCTTTGAGGCTCATCTAGGTTTATGGATTTGTATACACTAGCAAATGTAAACAACAATTCTCTTTGCAACATTCAATACACCACAACATGCGGCATAGAGCTACATTGTTTTGGTATCAGTGACTCATTTTGGGTCTGATTATACTTCATGCTAGAATTTGTTTATTTAGCCTGTGATTTTTTGTGACTTTGCTATTTTAAAACATATACAGTTCTTAACATATACAGTTCTTAAAAGATCACATGCGAATATGAAACATTTGTTTAATGGTTTCAGAAAATTGCATAATCTGTTTTGTGTAGTGACAAGATAATTTCATGATATTATTAGTTAAACAATGAAAACCAAGGGGAACTGTTATAGATTTTATAACAGAATCATATAATAACGAAACAAAATTTACGGAGCAAATGCGACATGTCCCAAACATCAAAGCACTTATGCAGTTCCGATGAATCCTACAAATTAACGTACCAAAGTTTATGTATGTCAGTTTGGGTACGTCGGTTTATGTATTTCACGTTTAAGTACATAAGTTTATGTATAGCACATTTAGGTATGTCGCGCTTAGGTAGGTCACCCTTAGTTATGTCGCGCTTCGGTACGTCACGCTTATGTATGTTTCGCTTAGGTATATCACGCTTAGGTATGTCGCGCTTAGGTATGTCACTTAGGTATGTCACGCTTAGGTATGTCAATTTAGGTATGTCTCGCTTATGCGCATACATTGAGTAGTAATTAGCTTTTTGATTAAACGGCGTCTTGCAATACTGTTCCGTGTCAGTACATCAGTAACATCCTGTATTGTAAAGATATATTGTACATTAAAGTATTGACTATCGTTTATTATTTTTAAATGCAAATACACTAATTCATAAAAATAAATTACGTTCTCTTGTTATTTAGAAATAATAATGGTCATTGTCTCTTGAAACCTGAGCGGTGGTATTTGAAACAGAACATTCACATCGCCAAATCACACATCATAATAAAGATGTTCAACTGCAACTCTCGCAAATGCCTACTTTTAGGAATGGTAAGTGCAAATGTGTGTTTGTCCTTTTATGAACACGTTTGTACTAAATTATTGGAATTCAGTATCTTCACACACACACACACACACACACACACACACACACACACACACACACACACACACACATACATACATACATACATACATACATACATACATACATACATACATACATACATACATACATACATACATACATACATACATACATACATACATACATACATATATATATATATATATATATATATATATATATATATATATATATATATATATATATATATATATATATATATATACATATTCGTTAATCTGACATGAATTGACTATGCGTACTTACTAATGTCCTACTCCTTTTGTTTTCCAATATAAACTCAATTATACCACATGATATCTTAAAAATACAAAAATAGAGATCGATTTACATTCACTGAGTTGCTTATCTCACATAATTAAATATTCCAATAAAGAAGCTGCTGTAAACAGTCTTAACTTGAGAAGCAGCATAATTTTGCAGAAAATCTGTTACAATTCTATTTAAATCTAATTATTGTATCTATGTTATAAATCTATTTGTATCTAATTATTGTATCTATGTTACAAATATATTTGTATCTAATTATAGTGTCCATGTTATAAATATATTTGTATTTGATCATTGTATCTATGTTACAAATCTATTAGTATCTAATTATTGTGCGAGCAAAAAAAAAAACCACTTTAATCAGAATATATCGGTCATCAACTGAGCCACCATCATTTTTTTTTTCGTGCAAATTTCTCAAATTTCAAAAGTTAGATACAGAGACTAACTTACGATCAACTTCCTGGGATTCTAGACCTCCAGCAAAAGTAGATGTGCTATAATTGAAAAGAAATTGCTCTAAATGAGTATTTTCCGCGATATAGCTACATTTTTCACACTCAAGTAGCCAGCGCAGATGCTAAGATAACCCGGTGTGTGTTTTCTCTATCAACACTTTCGTACTGGAACATAAGGACTGTTTTTGGAAGATCATGTTCAGTTAAGATCCCAGCTGGATAATCAACCACAGCTGCCACCCCGTGGTCTTGCTAGATAGCTCAGCTGCTAGAAGCCTTATCCAAATATCTAATAAACGAATTTTTTACAATGCGTAAAAACGAAAAAAAAAACTTCCCAACGTTTCGACCTAAAGATTCACTTCGTCAAGGGAAGAAACAATTTACATCCTCAATCCTTTCAAACACAAAGCCAAGAGAACTCTTTGACTCGTGCAAGTTCTAATGAAGGGGGAAATATACCAACACAGGATAAAACAATAGAAGAAATAAGGTCTCACAGAACAGTTGTTTTAACAAATTTTCATCCGACGATGACCTATTGCAGAAAAATGATCATAATTTTACAATAAAGATACAAATAAAAACTAATGATTTTTTTTGAAAGGATGCTTGTAAGATGCTGACTAAGGTATTAAGGTTAATTCCTTATGCAACTGGTGGTTTTGATACTGAACCTATTCTACCACCAACCCCTCGTTTTTACATTCATTTTTTTACAGAAAAGAGCTATTTTCAACCTGTTCCTGTGAGAAGCCAGCTAACAGAGTCAGTATGTACCTTATTCATCTTGAAAGTTCACTAGTACTATAACAAATTAACATACTTTTCATCACCCCTCAACCATGTAGATTTTTTTTTAGATATTTACCTCTGTAGCAGACACGTAAATACGTAGGCCAAGTCAGCTGCTCGTTTGTAGCCCAAGTTACGCATTTGATTTCCAATGCTAGTCTATCTGTGAAAGGCAGTCACCAACAAGGCAACCCATTTACAAGCCTAACTCAAAGTAAATGTAAACCACATTACAGATTTAGCTTATGTGTGAATTTATAAATGCTAGGGTTGTCATAATTAGGCTTATGCCTTCTACCTTAAAAATTAGTGTGACCTAAAGAAGACAAAATAAATAAACAGGTGAACTACATAACTATTTTATGCTGCCATTAGCCAAGCAAAGTTGTACATTAGAACTCAAAGAATTGATTAATGTGTCTATCAAACAGAAAAACCAAAATATTTTGACCTAAAGCACCAACCAAATCCATTGACCTAATTACAGGCTAGGTACAAAGAAAGAAAACCAATCGTAACAACAACAACAATAATAATAATAATAATAATAATAATAATAATAATAATAATAATAATAATAATAATAATAATAATAATAATAATAACATTTACAAAATGTACAAAGAAATTATTTCCAAGTAATCTTATGCGTAGAAGTGCTAAGGAAATATGTCAAGGCCGTGGTATAAATAATAATAATAATAATAATAATAATAATAATAATAATAATAATAATAATAATAATAATAATAATAATAATAATAATAATAATAATATAACAACAACAACAACAACAATCGCTCTGGAACAATGAAGAAAAGAAGTGTGTACTTATCACCAGACCAGGTGAATGAGATTTTAGATGTTTAGATGTTTATTATGATAAATCCCATCACCTGACCTACATAAAAGTACTAGACAATTGTACTGGTCAATTGCATGTAAGATTTAGTTGAGTCATTTAACATGCTATTCATGCTCTTTTATGGTCAATATATGTATATAGAGTGCCATTCCCTCTAATTTGTGATTAAATTATACCGTCGCTGTTCTAATAGATTAGTAAGATGAATCTATAATGAAGCTGTCAACTCTCTGCAAAAGACAGTTTCCCGCTAATTCCAAGCACATGGCGCTCATTTAATCTGCTTTTTTTTTTTCTAAAATCGATACCCTTAATTCCGTTTATTATTGTTCTCTGGCAGGAGACAAAAGGATTCTAATATATCGAAAGATACATTGGGTACAGTTGACCTTTGCTTAGGACCATCGGGTCAGTGTTATTGTTCTCACTCACGTGCAGACCATTCAGATTGGACATTGGCTTATCTTGTTATCAGTGGACATCCTTTAACTCCCTATCATAAATCACCAGGGCTGCCAGTTGAACACAGAGTGACCAGTACGAGAAAGCTTCCAAGATCTAACCTTTTACCTTTCCTGTATTAATTAATCTTTACAGATGTTATCAGGGCCCTACGCGTGGTGTTCAGGTGGGCCAGCAAGTGCATACCAATTGAAGCTTAACATCATTCTTCATTGACCACACAATTGGAGGACTGATATCCAGTGCAGCACGTGGCCTCACTAAAATAAATTCCAACGAATCACCTTGCACCAAATGTGTGCTTCTCAGTGTTGATGAGAACTGAACACTATAACAGTTAAAATATTTGAGGCAAACTTAATGGCATTTGAACCGTCAATAATTCTTAGAAAAGAATTTTACACTATCACTAAAAAGCGGTATAAAAGAAAGGTTTTAAAAAGAACACATTAAGTTTGATCTGTATATGTATGTATGTATGTATGTATGTATGTATGTATGTATGTATGTATGTATGTATGTATGTATGTATGTATGTATGTATGTATGTATGTATGTATGTATGTGTGTGTGTGTGTGTGTGTGTGTGTGTGTGCGTGCGTGCGTGCGTGCGTGCGTGCGTGCGTGCGTGCGTGCGTGCGTGCGTGCGTGCGTGCGTGCATGCATGCATGCATGCATGCATGCATGTATGTATGTACGAATGTATG